GAGTTTGGGACAAATATAGTTTCTGGGTTTCTTTTCTTAGATATCTTCATGCGTATGATTCTGAGTGTTGTATTGGGTAATGAGGTTTAAAGGATTTGAATTTGGTGATGGGTCATTTAAGAACTCTGTTTGTGTTTGTTGTTGTTATTGTGATTAGATTCAGGTTTTGGTAAGAAAGTTGGTGAATTGATGATGATTCGTGATCCGAGTGAAGGTGCAAGATTTGGTACGGCCTATTTCCTTACTGTGAGTTTCATTACTTTCATTGAATGGAGATTGATAGTTAATCAGATTTAGAGAAATGCATATGAAACTGGTCAACTCCTGTGTTTTGATAGCTAAGTTGAGCTCTTGAGATTTATAGAAATGCATATGAATCTGTTGTTTTGATGGAAGTATTGGTTTAGTTGATTAGTTATCATCAATGAGATATTAGAAATGATCATATAGTTGTTTCATAAAGTTGCAGATGTGTTTCCTGAGTAGTGATGTTTTATTTCATGGTGGTTGTTTTYATGTTTTGATAGGAGATACTCATGGTCAATTCTCAGATCTTTTGAGATTGTTTGAGTACGGTGATTACCTGCCGGCTGGGAACTATTTGTTTCTTGGGGATTATGTAGATCGTGGGAAGCAGTGTAGAGACTATATGCTTTCTTCTTGCATACAAGATCAAATACAAAGAGAATTTCTTTCTTCTACGAGGGAACCATGAATGTGCTTCTATAAACCGTATATATAGAATTTGTTGAAACAAGAGTTAAACACATGTTTGTGTAGTTGTTGAGAGTGCTCTTTGGTTCACTCTCTGTTTGTGTTTGTTTCTCGATTTAGTGATATCATTTGGTTGTTTCTCATTTAGACACTTATAAGATTGTTTTATCTTGAATGCATATATTGGTTTTGGGAGGAAATGGTTATGTAAGTTGATGAATTATGGTTTTCTAGATTAGTTGAAACTAATTGAGTCTGACCATTGGATCTAGAAAAAATAGAAGAAACTTAGAGTCTCAAACACTTTTTTAATATTAAATTTAATATTAAAAATTGAGTTAAGAACCCTTAATGGTAATGGTGATACCATTAAGGATCCTCTAACATAGCTAAAGCAATGAGTGATGTTGAGATGATAAGTTGTAGATTCATAATGGTGCATTTCACATGAAAACATGCAAACAAAAAAAACAAAAAAAATGTAGAGCCCAAGTTAATTCGGTTTTGTAATCAATGTTAGAAATTTCTAACCATACATTGCACAACAATTTAGGTACTATTTTTATTCCATTTTTCTTTCCCACACAAACATATAAGATGATCCATAAGTTAACAAAAATTATAGTTATCACAAAAAAAAAAACTTCCAAACTTATCACATATTTTTTTTTTTTTCAAAAAGCAATCAATAAATAGATCTACGGTGCAATTAGTTTCGAGAGGTGGCGGTGGAAGAAAAAACAACTAGCGTGGACGAACTCGAAAGCAAAGGAAAGAGCAGGTTTGTCACACGATGGTCCAGAAGTTGCAATGCTCCATTTTAGCAGGATCATCAAACTGTTCGAAGTACTCACAGAGCAAAGCCACAATACAGAGCAAAGCCACAATACTGGCTAGGACCATCACCAAATCTCTGGTTTCCATTTTCGTTCAATCATTCAAATCTCTCGTGTTTTACTTTTTTCGTGGCCACAATTTTGTGAACGACAGCCGCTACTATATCCGATATCAAGAACATAAATAATGTAAAAAAAGTTGGATTACTAATGTCACTTAGAAGAATGGGCCCAATAAATGGTTTTATAGTAGAAACTTGTAATATACTTGACAAACTAAAGTGATTGATTGGATTTATCAATCAAAGCTTCCACCGACAGTCTTTAAAGTAAAACAATGCATTGAACCACAAAATAAATATCACAAGGTAATGTGTGATCCACAAGAGAACACACCCCATAATAATAACTGATCACTAAATGTTTTTTCGGCCACGACAAAGAAACTTTAGATAGTGTATTAGGTAATCTCACCAACGTACAAATATATACTTTTGTAACACACAAGTTTTTTTTTTATATATCTTAGGGTAAATCATAAACCTATGAATAGATCCTTTTTTCGGATATGCAAATCAACCAAAACCAAAGATTCATATTTATATGGATGTCCAAAATAATGTGTTTTAGTTTCGCGTAGCAGGTGGGATCGAAATCGTAACGTATTAGAGTCACAAGTCTGTATCTTTACCACTTGACCACAAGGCTCCGGACTAACACACAAGTTACAACACCATTATTAAGGAAGATGTAGTAGAGTATTAAACACGATAAACTTCAAAAGCGACTAGAGAGTTTTTGCTTTTCCTTTGAATTTTACAAAATGGTTGGGTTTGAAATATATGATATTATATAGTTTCAATACAAAAGAGAGTTACGTCTATACTAGTATTGTATTGTTTATTTATAACAATAGTTATAGAATGTTTGACAACAACAAAAAAACATTAATCTGTTTAATTTTCCATAATATATAGTAAGTATACTTTAGCATCTCCGTTATTTAATTTTAAAAAGCATCTCCGTTATTTAATTTTAAAAAGGAATATTCTTGGAGTGGATACATATCCATTTTCTATCTATATATATACACATACCCATCCCATAACTCTTACGTGTCCAACTCACACAAAAAAAAAACTTATTCAAGAAAAAAAAAACTTAACCAAAAAGATGAATTTCCTCTCCGATCAGGTAAAGAAATTCTCCGACTCGAAACCGGAGGAGCCGGACCACAACAAGCCTGTCGAAGGAACCGAAGCAACCCATAGACCAGCTTCCAACACCGAGCTCATGGCTAGTGCCAAGGTTGTAGCCGAAGCTGCTCAAGCCGCAGCTCGTAACGAATCAGACAAACTCGACAAGGGTAAAGTCGCCGGAGCCTCCGCTGATATCTTAGACGCCGCCGAGAAATACGGCAAGTTCAATGCGCAGAGCGGCACTGGTCAGTACCTCGACAAGGCCGAGAAGTATCTCAACGACTACGAGTCGTCACACTCCTCCGGCGCCGGTGCTCCTCCTCCGGCCACCGGTGCTCCTCCTCCGTCCGCCGATGGTCCTCCTCCGGCGAGTCAAGCTGAGCCGGAGACTAAGAAAGCTGAGGAAGAGTCTGGTGGTGGGATTGGAGGTTATGCGAAGATGGCTCAAGGTTTCTTGAAGTGATTTGATCTTTTAATGTTATTTTGCTGTCTAATAATATAATCAAATAACTAAGTACGTTCGTTATTATATTACATCGTTTGTATCATACTATCATTAGTCTGTGGAACGAATGTAATCACTTTCGGAATATCATTAATCTATCTATGTTGTGTTTTAAAAGAGTCTAGTTTTTTTTTTTTTTATTAATGATAGCTTTTAAGTTGGGATTTTTAATAATTTTTTTATTATAATTTTTTTTTGAGTTCTAAATCTCTTGCATTTTAGAATTCTTAATCTCTAAAATTAGAACTTTTTATTGGAATTCTTAAATTTTATATATTATTTAATTGTTTTTAATTTTTTAGAAACTTTCATTTAAAACCTAATGCTCTAACATTTTTAATTGGTAACCACTTACGTCAACTTTACAATTGGTAACAAATTTAAGTTACTAATTCATCATTAATTACAAAAATGGGAACTAGATACAAGTTACAATTCAATCTAAAATGTGCCCATTAATTTCATAAAACAAACGCTTAGACCTATCCACAATTCTCTCAGTCCCACGCAAAATCTGATTACAACGTTCATGTCTAGAATCAGGCACAAGATCAATCAGTTCAACTAAAGGATCCGTAATCACTTCAACAGATCCATTAAACTTATCTCTACCAGGTAAAACATGTTTCTCCCAGAAATCAACAAGTGTTACTCTCATATCTCCCCAAAACACAGAATCTCTCTCAATCCGAAACAACCTACTCCCATTCACAGTCCAACAATACAAATCCAACCAATCTCTATCCATAATCTCCATCAAACCTTGAGCTTGCGGAACATAATGCCAAGGAACTTTCTTCCATGGATAAGCTTGTGTTTTATCGCCATCGTAAAACGGACATTTCACTTCAAGAACACCACTTGAACAACAAGACCCATCTTCTTTAAGCACATGTATGTCTCCATCAGGTGAAGCTCCTAACCAATCTTCTTCTTCTTCGAATGTTGTTACGAATTCAGGTAAGAGAAAATCGTGTCCTGTTAATTCGTGGTATCTATTGAGTGCTTCAAGCTCTTTGATTTTGGTCCAACATGTAGCTGCGTTACCTGAAAATGGCTCTAATGCTCCGATTTTCTCTAACCAAAGTTGGACTCTCCGGTTAGGCCAAAACCCAATTGCTTGAGCAAAAGTACTCGATGTTAACCGGTTTTGTCTCTGGTTTTCCCAGTTTTTACGCCAATGTTGCATACAAGGTGCTTGTGTAAATGAATAATTCGTACTGATGATCTCGATCTCAGATTTGGTGCTGAACAATCGTTTCTTGGTTTTTTCTTGGAGAATCGGTTTATCGCGAAACCAGTATTCAAGAAGATCATCACCACCACCACTGCAAATTTTTGATTTTTAGCATTTTTGAAACAACGAAATTTCGAAACTACGAAGCTAAAATTAGAACAAGGTAAAGAGGAAATTGACCGTGAAAGCTTCCAAGAGCTACGACGAAACATTGTTTGAGCTACTCGCAAACGAAAGAGACGAAGTTTGGGTTTAGGGTTTTTTTAGAAGGGACTATGAATTTATGGGGGCTTGTTACGAATATCGATTAATACAGAGGACGAAAAGGGAAGATAAACAAAATTGAGATCAATTATTCAAATAAATTGAGCACTTTTGATCGGACGGTCCAGCTTGACGGAGATGATGACGTGTCCCTAAGATTGTACTTTGTGGACCCCATGTTGACGAGAATCATAACTCTCACGAACATTCCGGAATTACCCTTGTGACATCACCCTACGATACGCAACGCAACATCGTTGGGCCATTTATTTGCAAAGTTACTAAAATAGGCCCATCATTATCTATGTGACCCGAACCAAATATAATAAACCAATTTAGAACTCGGAGTAGGGAATT